CCCGCCCCCGCGCTTCCTCCCTCGCTCACTTTCGCTTCCGCCGGAGCGCGGGTCCGGCCGCCGCCCGAGCATGGACGACCCGGACTGCGACTCGACCTGGGAGGAGGACGAGGAGGAGGACGGCGAGGGCCCGAGCGCTGGGGGCGGCGAGGATGGCGAGGCCGGCGCCCCGGGGGACGCGGACGCGGAGGACGAGGACGACGACGAGGAGGACGCGCGGGCGGCGCGGCCCGGAGCGCTCCAGGTGCAGCCCCGACGCGCGCTGGGGTCCCAGCGCCCCCCGGGCAGGCCTGCCCGGCCGCCGCGGGGTGGGGGTGAGGCCCTGCTCCGGGGAGGCCGTCCCCCCCTGGAGACCGGGCCTGGGGCTTGGCCCTTTCTCCAGGTGTTGCCCTCTCCCCCGCCCACAGCCTCCTCGTGCCCCCCTTAAGACCCCCGGACACCCTGAGATCGGGCCGGACCTGCGCCTCCCAGCTCTGGCCCAGCCAGGGGACCTTGCAGGGAGATCCAGGGCCACCCTCGGATCCGTGTCCCCAGAACCGAATTGTGTGCTGACACTTCCTCAAGGGGATGCCCTGGACACATTCTTGACGCCCCTCTCTGTCACCTCCCACCTCCAGGCCCTTGGCTTGGTCCTCTGAATAGATCCCAGGCCTCTGTGCTGGGCCCTCCACTGCTTCTGCGGGCCCTCTGTCTCTTGGTGCTCTCTGCTTCTGCCCCACCTGCTCCCCACCAGCCCGCCCCACCCCCACCTTTGCTCTCGGGGTGCAGCACCCACCCACTGGGTCCTCCTGCCTTCTTGGAGGTGGCCTTGGAGGCTACATTTGGTGACTTGCCTGAGCCAGGCCTGCACCTGGAGCGCGCTGGGTTACCCGTGGTTAGCACCAGCGCCTTGCAGTTACGGTGCTGGTTATTTGTCATTACGAGCTGTCACTTTCGTTACTGCTGATTACTTGTGACCAGCAGTTACTTTTGTCACCACTGGTTACTTGTCATTACCATGGTTACTTTTGTTGCCACTGGTGACTCCTTCTTACTGTCAGTTACTTTTGTTGCCCCTGATTTTCTCCGGTTACCACCGGTTACTTTTGTTACTAGTGCTACTCTTCTTTACCCGGGCTACAGTTCACCGGGCAGCACATCCTGCCCCGTGCAAGGACGGCGGTTCCAGCTGTGGTCTCAGGCGTCACGGGGGGCATGGCGTCATAGCTGTCGCTTGTGGAGGGTGGTGGATTCGCATCGTGTCTGAGTTCCAGCCTGCAGGGTCTCCAGGTTGGAGTCTCCCCCTGACACATGAGAGTTCTGGTTTTGGGGGTTAATCTCTGTGTTGGGGAGTGGTCAGTGAGCGGGACCCCGAGGGGCTCCTGGACCTGCCAGGAAGGCCAGAAGCCTGAGCACATCTGTGGTGTTTGGGGCAGGCCTGCGGTTCTTGAGGAAGCAGGCTGGGCCGTGGTCAGGGTCACGGGGCTGGAGTCAGAGGGCAGGAATCTGGCTCTTTTCCTGTGGCAGATGCCCACTTGGATGGAGTAAGGGGACACTGTCCTTGCCATAGCTTCACGGGCGCCACTCCTAAAGCAGTGCTCTGGCACCTCGGCCGCCCCGTGAGATGCCCACAGTCCTCTGCCGTCTGCAGCTTCTGTCCCTCCACAAGTCCTAATCCTACCCCCCAACCCCACCGCCCGCACTCCCCAGCTGCCCCACACTGAGCCCCGGCCCGGCAGTTTGGTGCTTTGCCCCGGGTTATGTTGTCTGTGCCCCTGCGGGGCTGGCCTCCTGCACTAACCTGGGGAGGAGCCTGGCTGGCCCCAGAGAAGAGGAGAAAAGGAAACTGGTGGTGGGTGGGGCCCGCTTCTGCTGAGTTTTGGTTTCTCTGCTCGCCCTTTGCTGGTAGGCAAGAACTTCACCAGCTTGCCCGGGTCTATAAATTGGGCAGAGAGGCACCACCCCAATCCTCGCCGGAGCTCAGAACTATTTGGAGCATCTTGGGGAGTGGGGATGGGGTCAGAGCCAAGGGACACAGTGGTAGGCCTGGCCTCCTGACTCCCCTTCAGTGCTCTTTTGCTCTTTCCAGGATCCTAGGACCCAGACATTTCCCTGGCTTGAGCTGTCCCCTCTTGTCATGCCCAGCAGCGTTATCTGCCTCCCCAGCTTCTGTGGGACCTCAAGCCAGGTTCAGCCTCGCTCATGCCTCCCACCCTATAACAGGATGGGTCAGGCTGCGTTTACCTAGCATTCTGGTTGCCAGTTACCTTCCATCCTTCCCAGGACCCCGGGGTGCTTGGCCTGCAGAGATAGGGACTGCAGGTGTTGAGGGGGCAGCGAGGAGCTTCTGCATCTTGCTGAGAAGGCTCCCCCATAGGACAGGAGGCCAGGAGACACACGGTCTGGTCCAGGAACGTTGGGGTTGGGTAGAGACAGGACTGGCTCCCTGGGTCATTCATCTTTGTCAGACAGGTGTTTGGGGCTCCTCCCGGGGCTGTAGGCTGTGAGGCCGCTGCCTTTGGGGACACAAGCCTGGTGACAGGCTTAGAGCACAGGGCAAAGAGGGAGCAGTGGGGTGGGTCCCCGGGGGGGGATGGGTCCCTGGGGGGTGGGGAATCCTACAGCTGGCATCCAAGTGAAGGTAACCAGCGAATACCGGAGTAGGAAGTGAAGTTAGAGCTGGAGGGGAGGGTGCTTCACCCCAAGAGTGTGCTGGTCAGCCTGGGCGTCCTGAGAGCTGGGGCGGGCAGCAGGGGCCAAGCAGGGGGCAGGCCTTGCTCCCATCCCCCTGTCCCCTCTGGTTTTGCTGATAGCTGACCCAGGCCCTTGCTGCCCTTACTGTGATGGGGGCTCGCTAGGGGTGGGTCCTGCTTCCTGCTGGGTCTGCCGTGGGGGTCTCAGCCCCTCTCCTCTCTTCCCAGGCCAGGCTGCTGGGGTCCCGAAACTGGCGAGCCGTGCGGGACACCCGCAGATATCGGCACCACTACCCGGTAGGTGGCAGCTGCCCGTGGCGCCCTCCCACCTCGGCAGCCCGCCCGGCTCAGAGTCCGTCCACCCTCCGCCCGGAGAAGGCCGTCAGCCCCTCTCCTCAGACCAGGTCCCATGTCCCGCCTGGGACGGCTGCTGCTTGCCCTCCTCACAGGGTGACAGGCACGGCGGGGTGAGCCTCAGTGCCCTGGCCTTTAAAACACGGGACCGGCCCCAGCTGGTAGGCACGGCCACACGAGGTCCCGCACGCTGGGGCCCGTGCTGGGGGCACTCCTGTCGCCCTCATCCCTGCCCTCTGCACCCTGAGTTTCAGGCAACCCCTGGGCTGCCTCGGGGGGGACAGATGACGGGGACCTGGCCCACGCTGGTGAGGAGGGGAAGGTGGTGGTCGGAGGGAGCTGCTGCCCTCACCGCGGGGTGAGGGGCCCAGGCCGGGTACGTGGGGTCCTCGCCAGCCCTCAGCATGTCAGAGGTTTGTGGGCCCCAGAGCAGACGCCGCCTCCCCCAGGAACGTTCTAGTGTGAGGGGCCCTTGGAGGCAGCCTGTTTCTGGAGATGTTCTGACGGGTACCTTTCTCTGGCTCTTCAGGATTTGATAGAACAAGCTGGCAATGGTGACATGCCAAACCTGAGTTTCTACAGAAACGAGATCCGCTTCCTGCCCAATGGTGCGCGCTTGCTGGGCTGCCTGTGGTTCTGTCCCGGGGCGGGGGCGGGGGCGGGTCCCATGCCGGCGGTCTCCCCTCCACCTGGCTGCTCCTACTCGCTGGGACCCGGCCGTGGCGCCGAGGTCTTCGGCTAGCCCCCACGGCGCCCCCTGGAGGCCGCTGAGGGGACGCCCGGGCCCCAACGCGCAGCTTGTTTTCTGTGACGGACCAGGCAGTGAATATGGGGGCTTCGTACACTCCTCAGCTCTGCCGCCTTAGTGGGAAAGCCGCATACTTAAGCTAACAAGAATCATGGTTACGTTTTCAAATGGTTGGAAAAAACTTAGGGTGGAATGACAGTCTGTGCTGTGAAAATTATATGAAATTCAAGCATCAGTGCCCATAAGGGAGATTCTGCGGGACCCACCCGTTGGTGCAGGACCCACTGCACACACACCGTCTCACTGTCTGGCCCTTTGCAGAAACAGCAGCTGCCCTACCGGAGGCCAGGCTATGGGTGGGGTTCTGCTGGAGGCTCTGTTTGAGGTCAGGTTCCAGCCAACAGGCTGTGGTTTGGAGGGGAGAGTGAGGCCACCTTTCTGCGAAGAACCCCCATGTCCTTCTCCCAAGGGGCCTCCTGGGCCCTCCCGCCCAGCAAGCCCAGTGTGGTCTTCTCACCCGGGTCTGCCCTCAGTCAGCAATGGAGGTCCCGTGTCCAGACTGCGAAGAAATCAAGGGCTTTGCTTGGGGGTTATGGTCACATGAGACCTATACAAGCTTCCGAGTCCCCAAGGTCCTCAAGAAAGGAGGGGGGGAGGGGGCCGGCTTCCAGCAGCTCCTCACTGACTTGTCCCCGTGGGGCCCCCAGGCTGTTTCATTGAAGACATTCTTCAGAACTGGAGGGAGGACTATGACCTCCTGGAAGAGAATCACTCCTACATCCAGTGGTGAGTGGGTGGGGCCAGAGGGGCGGGGCTTACAGAGCAGGTGCCCTCCCCCTTTCCAGATGCTGGCTTTGCGCTCTGGCCCGTTCTCTCCCCCGCCAGGGGGGGCCGTTCAGGCACCTCGGCAGTCCTGCAGTCTGTGGGTCCGGCAGCGGTACAGAGCCTCTGAGGTTGGGAGCTGAATGCAGACGTGGAGGACAGGAAGAGCAGGCTGGCTTCCCCGGGTGGGTCCCCAGTGCCAAGAGGCCGTGTGGCCCTGCAGAGCCCCTGGGACGCTCAGGGTGGCCGGGTTCTAACAGTGGCCTGAGGTGATCCTTGCCAGCATGGCTGCCTTGGGGACCCTTGACACTGCCCCCCAAATAACGGAGTGCATTTGAAGATGGCATCTTGGAGGCCTCTCCTGGGCACAGAGCATCATGGGGAACAGCTCTGCAGCATTAATGACAAGACAAAAAGAACATAAGAATAAAAAGGAGGGGGCGCCTGGGTGGCTCAGTCAGTTGAGCGTCCCACTTCTGGTTTTGGCTCAGGTCATGATCTCAGGGTCATGAGATCAAGCCCCACTTCGGGCTCTGTGCTCAGCAGGGAGTCTGCTTGAGCATTTCCTCTCTCTCCTTCTGCCCCTTCCCCTGCATGCTCCCACTCTCCTCTCTCTCTAAAAATAAATAAATCTTTAAAAAAAAACGAAAAAAGAGGAGAGCCTGGAATGCCCTGCTGAGCGTGCACGCTGAGCCTCCCGTGGCCACGTGTGCCCCTCCCCTGTGCCCTGGTCCAGAACAGCCTCACTGCGACTTCCCTGCCCTCAGCCCCTGGCTTTGACTCGTGAGAGCCCACAACACAGGTTCATCCGGCCAGGCTCTCCTAGAGTTGAGCTTTGAACCCCGAGAGGCTGGTGAGCACGTGCCCCGTGGTGGGGAGCCCACGTTTGCCGCTGATGGGACCCGTGCCCTGTCCTTTCTCACAGGCTCTTCCCGCTGCGCGAACCTGGAGTGAACTGGCACGCCAAGCCCCTCACGCTCCAGGAGGTTGAGGTGAGCTATACAGGCTGGGAAGCCTCTTCCATCCAGACGGGTCATTGCCTCTGCCCCCTGGTGCTCCCCACAGGCTTCTAGAGAAATCTGATTTTCTTCAGCAGTTTGCGTCAAGTCGGGGAGCCCAGGGCCAGGGCTGTGAGCAGAGTCATGGTGATGGGGGTTTCGTCACACCTGGTTTGGGCTAGAACAGGACACTTGGAGGGATGGGAGGGTCTGGGGAGCCGAGGAGACTGTGTTTCCTGCCATATGCTCAGCCCTGGGAGGCCCCCCCCCCCAAGTTGTCTCCGGGGCTGGCAGAATTCCTCTGGGGGCTAAAGCAGATGCCTCAGTCCCCAGTGAGACCTCGTAGCAGCTAGAAGAAGAGTTACATTATGAATTCTCTGGGTTCCTGCATTCTATGACTTCACCCCAAAAGTCTAAGTCCAGGCCTCTAGATGAACCGGGGCCTGAGGGAGGTGTCAGCTAGGCCGATGCACCCGTGATGGCCCCTGAGCCCCCACTGGCCTCGTGGGGTGTGTTCCAGGCATTTAAAAGCTCTGAGGAAGTCAGGGAGCGGTTTGTCCAGGCCTACGAGCTCATGCTGGGGTTCTACGGGATCCAGCTGGAGGACCGAGACACTGGGCAGGTGCGCCGAGCACACAACTACCAGAAGCGCTTCCAGAACCTCAACTGGTAAGGACCCTCGCCCCACCCCAGCTGAGGGGGATGGGGCTGTGCCAGGTTCCAGACAGGTGTGGGGGAGCACTTCGGAGAAGGATTCCAGGGGCATTTGGGCAAGTGACTCAGGTTCTAAGCACCCTCCTCGTTTGCAGGGTGGAGGTGGTCCCAGCTGCTCGGGGTGTGAGAACCTAGGGAAATGCACCCCAGTCAGTTTCATTAGCGATGCCCCACCGCGCACATGGGTGTGGGTCAGGTTGCCCACAGCTCCAACGGCCTTGCAGGCACAGGGCCTCACCCCTGCTGAGAAGCACTGGGTGGGGAGTTAGTGCATGGGGTGAATCTGCTGATGACACGCTCACCCCTGCACGTGGGTAACAGGCCCCTGGGCGAGGCCCCATGCTCTCGAGGGGCCCCCTCCGGCTCTCCCCCAGCGGTGCAGGGGCTGGGGGGTGGGGGTTCCACGGGTCTTTTAGAAGCCCCCACCCGCACCCTCCGGGCCCACAGGCCATTTTCTCCTGGGCCCGGGTGAGGGGGTGGGGCGGAGACGCGGGGCGGCCAGCCGGGAGGAGGAGGCGGAGGCGGAGGGAGGCGGGGGGCGGAAGAGATTGTAGCAAACCGGTCCCTGACACGCACAGGGACGGTGATGAGCATCACGGGTGTTCAAGGAATAGGAGCCAAGTGCATGTCTTAGTCTCGAGAACCTGTGGGTCAATCCGGGGTTGTGACATGAAGGCACATCCAGAGACCTGTCGAACAAGGAGAAGTGGCGCCTGTCACCCTGTGTGTGCCCTGAGACTCGGGGGGCGGCGGGGGTGGCACGGAACGCATCCCCAAGTGATGCGCTGGCCATCTGCTAGGACAAAGCCATCAGAGACGATCAAGAGCAGTTGGATCTCGGGGGACTATTTCCCCTAATCATACACCTACGTATACACAGCTCAGCGTGTGCACAAGGGGAGAAGGTGAAGCAGTGAGTGAATCTGCGGAGAGCCCCGGCCCGGCCCCCCATCTGTGTGCGCTCTCCGCGCCCCGTGCTGGACGCCCTCCTCCCTGGGTCGTGTATAACCCCTTGCTTTTCTCCTCACTCACGTGAAACACCGCAGGAGAAACAATCCCCACGCCCAAATAAAGGCCTGTTCTGGATTGTTCTCCAAAGCATGTGGACTTGGGACCATTATTTCTTCGCCAGCTTCCGGAGAAGAGAGGGTCCCGGTCAACGAGAATCTGACAAAGAAGCCAGAGAGATGGAAGGGGATTCCGTCTGACGCAGGGTGGGCCGTGGACGACACAGCCCTCACCCACCCCTCCAGGCACAGGCGGCACAGCGTCTGCTTTTCGGATTGTCTTACTCAAACATATTCATCAGAAAACAAACAAAAATAAACGGCCACAGTCTCCACTCTGACCCCCTCCGCACGGGAGTAAGAAATCCCAGAGGGAGAGTTTCTGCCGGCGGTTCTCAGGTGTGCGCGCACGTCAAGGGATTAAAAACAGCATCTGAGCTTGGAGGGGTATGAGGAAGGGGGAGCAGTGGGCACCTCTGCTCTGTCCACTTGTGTCCCTGGGCTGGACAGCATTGCCCGTGGGTAGCGTGCTGGTCCTCTTTTCTTGAAACCAAAACTGTACGTTTCCTCTAAAGCAGAAGACCTGTCTCTCAAAGCCCAGAGCCCACGTCCATAATTCCAAATTGAACAAGACTGTGTTCATTTACTTATTTATAAAACCAAGAAATAGTTAAAAGAGCTTAAAGGCAATCATTGCTTAAATCTGCCACCCAAAATTGACTGCTCAGGGGAAAATATTGCATGTTTAAAACTGGTCGTCTAAAACTAAGTTACCAGCAAACAGAGTTCATACATAAAGAAAACGGAGCTTACGGGCGTCCTTCTGTGAAGAGCTCCCTGCACACCATAAAAAGCACTGGTAGGTATTAGGCTGGGACCAGGTGGTGGCTCGATCCTGGGCATCAGAACTGTGTCTCTGATCTCCTGGGGTCTTGTTAAAATTTGCAGACTGTGGGGCGCCTGGGTGGCTCAGTTGGTTAAGCGACTGCCTTCAGCTCAGGTCATGATCCCGGAGTCCTGGGATCGAGTCCCACATCGGGCTCCCGGCTCAGCGGGGAGCCTGCTTCTCCCTCTGACCCTATCCCCTCTCATGCTGTTTCTCTCT